GGGGGGGGGGAGGGGTTCAAATTTTGACTTTGTTCTCTAAATTAAGCGCTTTATTCAGTTTCAGGTTTCTGTAGCTAGAATTGACAAATCAATTTTAATGGAATGCCTTAATTTGTTGGAAAGTTGTGATCCGACAGGTGAACGCCCAGATCCACCAGAACTTGCCGATTTGGAGCAGCGTAGTCTTGCACAGGTATTTTTTCTCGCTTTTATCATTTTGGATATTTTTTTTTTTTATTACCCCTAGGTTTGTTTTTGGATTGTCATTGTGAAGTTGTCGATGTCTCCTGTTTTTCTAATCTTTTGGGTTATCTATAACAGTAATTATCCACAACTAATTAGGCCTGCCACCACTTCGAAAAATCGTACAGGTCTTCCATTCTGCCATGGGTACGGTTCACTCACGTTGATGAACATGGCGCAGTGGCAAGTAGCGTTGCTCTCATGCTGAAGCTGTAGGTCGAGGGTTCGATTCCGCGACTTGAACAACCAATTTTTTTTGCGATTTGGTTTTATAGTAACTTGAATCTGATGCATGGCAGAGGGATAAAACTCCTTTTACTAGCTTTCCACACCTAACTATTGGTGTTTTGTCAACGGATGGCTGCTTGGAGCAGATGCTATGCTGCCACTTTGGTTATTTCTGAGCGCCTCCACATTTTATAGAGGATGAGTATGGAAGAAGTTTTAACCCTGGCTGTTTACTTATATGTTATATCTGTTAACTGTGGACAAAGCAGATGAACCGTTTTCAATGTAAATACTCGAATTTTCAAAATTTTTCGAATTTTTTGAAAATTTAGGCTCCACTTATCGATGCTCGTTTGGCCGAAATTGATAGGCAGCACAATGCGCTAGCTGAAGTGGATCTTGCAATAAGAGATGTACTGACAATGTATGATCGCGCTGTACAACAAGTTCAGTATAAGGTAAGAAAAGTTTTGCCTTCTGATAATAATTTGAGAGACGTTTTACACAAGACTACGACGGGGTGGGGGAAGTCGGAGGAAGAGGGGGGAGGCGGGGAAGAGGGCGGAAGGAGTGAGGGAGGGGAGAAATGGGGAAAGTTAATGAATTTTGCAGATTAATCTTGGCAAGTGCTATCATTCGAGCTACTTCCGTAGGCCTTCGCCACTCGTGGAAGACAGCGAATGTTGGGAAGGGGGAGGGGGAGGGGAGGGGAGTTGACCTTGACTTTGATTTGATTCGTTAACGTATTTACGAGGAAATGATCGTTTCTTTTTGCACTGGAAGCATTGGGAAAAATGTAGAGTATCACATCAAGTGGAGTAAATCCGAGGTAAAAAATGTTAATTGCGCTAAAAGACGAGAACGGGGCCCAAAAAACAACCGTTTTTGCAAGACCGCAAAAAAGGATTATGCCTTTTTTTCCAAGGGTCCCAAAACTAGGAATTTCATTGCTTTGTAGAAAATGATGATTTGGACGTACAATATTTACACCATACTGATTTGACATTAATTTTCAGGTACCAACTGGACCGGTACAACCCGAGCAGCAGCCCGCTATGG